GTGGGGAAAAAGGAATAATTTCCGGTAATCAAGAAGGGAGTGACCGAGAGTGATGGAGACGCGAACCCATACGATTTCGAGAGCAAACGGGATCTCCCATCGAAAATTCAATGCATCATGAGGTTGAACGACGCGATTCATAAGCAAGTTGGATTTTCTGTTCGTCGGAAAACGTCAGCAGCTTTCCATGAGAAATTATTGTCTCTGGAACGGCCCCTCGGAGGAGGATGTGAGCTCCGCGAATCAATTTTCCACGCCGCCAGACACCTCAGATTCCGATTCCGATACTGAATGAAGTCCGCGAATCGACGTAGCCACTCCCTGTTTACCGTTTTATTATTATTATATTTCTCCTGTTCTGACTGACTGCGGACAGTTTCCGCCTCAAATTAGTGATCAATGAGTTATGACATACGCTGGAAATTTTTTTCTCGAAAAAGAGAATTTTTTCCTTGAGTATAAGACGCACCCCCTCATCGAACGCAATAAAATATGCAAAAAATGCGCCTTATACACGAGTAAATACGGTATATACAGTGGGCCAAAAAAAACTTCTGTTATTTTTATCACTCCACAGCATTGGTCCCCAGAAGTTTGCTAAAATTGCAATAGCACCTCAGCATAGAACATTCATTAAGCATTCCAATGATGTCAACAGAATAAAGATTCATGACATAACTTTCATGCAGTTAGATAAAGAGCATAAGTGCCCACGTGAAAACTTCTTATATAAGACCATATATGAAACGGCCATATATTTAACCAGTCCGACATATAAGGGGGCATATATTACCATATAGTGCAATACATATACGAACATATGTGAAACATGTATGGGGTTTGACACAAGTCACATAAAATCATATAAGAATGGAAATATATGACCCCATACATGTTCATATATTGGCTCATACATATGCGCCATATACTATCCATATATGCCATGTCATACCTATGCATGGTGAGGTTACCCGAAACATGTCTGTATCCAAAAAGGGTCCATAATCCATCAATTACTGTATGATCATTCATATGCATGTCACCATACTTAACTTGCAATCAACTCATTTTCAATTGTTCATAGACCACAGTCAATTACTCCAAGTACATATGTTTCATGGTGTTCAACATATGCACCCTTGTTAATGAAGGTAAAAGTTTCAATATTATAGATTTGAACCTTCACAAGTATTTTCATTAGTAATGCTATTTCAAGACAAAACTTGGCTTACTCGTGTATGAGTGTCTTCTTCATTTTGAATGACAACTCAGAAGATAGATGGGAACAGAAACTGCATTTCTTTCTGAAATTATGCAATGAAGGAATTGTTCAATGAAGGCAAGTCACAGCATAGCACAGCATGGCATGGCATGGCATGTGATGTGATGTGCTCCCACTTTACAACAACAAAAAACCATTAATACAAAGGAAAAGATGCATGATAACAATGTCCCAGAGTTCCCATGCCCCCCCCCCTCCCCCCCCCCTTCCCACACTTTCTTCATCCACAATACGCTTATGCTACCTAGGGAGAGTAGGGCCCAGTTTGAAATCCTGACTGGAATTTTTCAGGTGGACAGAAGCTGTATATTCTGACTATTTCCAGCTAGCAAAGAGCTAAAAAATGGTAGATACAGGTTGTTTTACAGTTGAAAATTTGCCATTAGAATTTTATACAGAAGACCCTCCAGTTGAAATGCAGCTGAATTTACAGTTGAAATTCAGCTGCTTCTGTAGGTGGACCTCCAGCAAAAATAAATAAAAAATTCTCATTCTACCAGTATATTGCAATTGAGAACAATCTGAATCTGACTTTATTTTCCAGCTGCTACCCTGTTGGAATGGGTCTGAATCCAACTGAGGTTCAGCTGGAAATTATAGCTGTTTCCAACAAGGATTTTCAGCTGGAAATTATAGCTGTTTCCAACAAGGATTTTCAGCTGGGGGGGTTCAAAATCAAACTTTTGGCAAATTTTTAAGCAAATTTAGGCAAATTAAGGGTTATGCATACTTAATATTTCATGTAAAATACAATAGGTGCATTAAAAATAAGTTGCAGAGGCATCTGAAGGTCAATTGCCCTCACGTGTAACAACCTCATGCAGTGGCATATTTTCTAGGGAGGGGGCAGGGGAGTGCTGCTGTTCCCCCCCAGCATCCCTGGGACAGAGCTTGGTGCCTCCACTCTACTGCCCTGTCCCCCATGACTCTTCAGCCAAAATACACCACTGACCTCATGCTATGTTTTATTTACAACCATAAGACTTGTCTATGCATATTCATCACATATCAGGCATGATGCATTTGCCCATCACACATAATATTGCAATGCAGGTAAAATATATTATGCACCATACAATTGTTAATACATGAATACATATATGGTGGTATATGATAAATATATGATCATACATAACCATACAGAATCATACACCCTGTCATACATGGAATTTTCACATGGGAGGTGGCTCTGGAAAAGTTGATGCCATGCTGCAATGACAGCTAGTGCATCCAAGGGATCTCCTACTCTCCATAAGCAAAGGAATGGATGTCACCTGGTGCACATCTTGTAGGGTACTGGCAAGTGCACTTTTCTAGTGCCACTTCTGTTACACTGTGTGCAACTGCATCAGAATTCTGGATTGGATATTAGCTCTTTTGACATCAGTGGAAAGTAAGATAGAAGTTCTATATATGCAATATTTTCAAACTCTCAAGAAACTATGCTGTAAAGCGTTAAAGATAACTGAAGTTTTTTTGGCCCACTTTGTACATAACATGCAACAGGGGACTTTGCACCTACTCTGTACTTCAGCACAGTTTTCAAAATAGTCATAAAAAAGTAGCAGAGCTCTCTTAACCACTTGCCTGGGGAATTTAAATCCCCATTCCATTCCCCTCTTGGGGAATTTTATCCCAGAAAATTATAAGTTGAAATAAAGTGTCTCAACCTGAAGTTCATGCACATATTTATAATCAGATTCATTATTAAGATTCAAAAGTCAAAATCACCTATAGTTTATCATCTCCAACAAATGAACATTATGACATGATGCACATAAACATCATCCCCAATTAAGAGGTTAAGATTAGTGTCCTGAAGCCTGTAGCATTCTGGAGGTGAGATGAATCTGAACTAGGCAGTGTGACCTTCTGAATGAAGTCATGCAAAACTATGCAGTGTTACATTCTTGGAGAAAGAAGGATCAATGATATGATGCCCAATGCCAATGAATCAGAGAAAGGAAGGGCAGTTTTGTCAGTAAGTCAAGTTATTGTGAGCAATTAAAAGAGCTTTTGCACAATTAAAGAGTGATCTTACCATTTTTTTTAAATTGCACATCCTGATTTGTGGATACACGGAAACAGTTTTGGTGTATTCTGATTCATCTCAGCACTACTTCATTAATATGGGTGAATTTGAGATAAGAATAACTGTTCTGAGTTGATCTTCTTAGTTCCAGTAGCAAGTTATGCTCCTGTTCCTTTTGGTTGCATTTGCTTCCCACTCCCTTCTGATAAGGGCAGGGAATAGAGTGATTGATAGAGCAATGATAGAGAGTCAAATGGAATTTTTGGAGGATGCAAGGCCACCAGTCTTGCCACTTGTCATCAACACATGGAATTTCACCAAACCCACTCAAAAAGGTGAGAATCATAGGAAAATGGGCAATGTGCCCCTTTTTGCTGACATACCAAGTGTTTGTAGCAGTAAAAATGAGTACCCTAAATTCAGTAAAATAGAAAGCAACAAGCAGGGGCTACAATGGAAGTTATATACCATTGGAAGGGCTATTCAATTCTTTGCATGTGTTCAAAACTACACTTGGGCATACAGATTGCTGACAGCTACTTTCCCCCTTCACCACTAAAAAAAAAGGTAGTAAATCTCAGTGTTTATTTGAGTATACCATGAGTACAAAATATGAAATGATTCATATTGGCTGCTGTTGGAGTGCACCTTACACCTGGACATAATGCTACTAAAAGGTAGGGGAAAATCCATGCTGTCTGGTTTTTGGCATCCAGATGAGAGGAAGAGAAAAAATGCTTGTCCATATCCTATGTCCTAGTTGTCTTTATGCCTACAACAGAATTTGGTAGCTTGCCTAACTGTTTTTTCACTTCTGTATTGCATGTGGAATAAGGGAATTAAATAAGAGTATTGAATATATTCCTATAGATGATACAGGGCAAAGAAAAATAAAAGAGAAAAAGAAAACTCAGATGCAAATAGAAAACAAGTGCCATGCCAAAGGGGAGAATATGCCTAAACCCCCCCCCCCCCCACATTGGGAAATTGAACAGCATGGATCTTTCCTCTGCCTTCACATGGCACCATATAACTTGCAACAGTTCCTTCTGTTCAGGCTTTCATGATTCCATATGTATATTGTAGTCATGCAGGAGAGCAGTAACGTCTTCAGACCCTCATGAAATGTCATCATTTTATGAGGACTAAGAAATGCAAAATATAAAATGTAAAAATCATGAAAACAAAAATTAAACAGGTTGATCACCAAGGGATTTGGAACCACTGTTCCTCTGTATGGCAAATGTGACACACTGGTGTGTCATGTGGCAGTCAACATATTAAGCTTATTGAAAATACTGCTTACTCCTTGCCTATGAGGGGGGTTCAAAAAGTTCTGCAGCTGAACTTGTAAATTTCAAATAACTTTATTAATTACAATAATTATATATTTAATCCTTCAAAATACTCCCCCCCAGCCCTAAAATCTATCCCTGTGAGTACCATGGGGCTCTCCAGAATTGGCTGGTGAGGCTGCAGCAATGTATAGATGCTGCGGTGGAGTAGGGTTAGATATATAATTTTTATTATTTAATAAAGTCATTTGAAATTTACAAGTTGAGTTGTAAAACTTTTTGAACCCCCCTTGTACTATTGTGAATAGTTGCCTAATATCTAAGGGTAGATGTAGAATCTTTACAATGGCTATGAACTGGTTTTTGTGGGTGACAAGTTATGTAGACAGGAATGACTTCGTTGAAAGGATGGAAAGTGCTGACTGAAGGTGGAGGCTCAGTCATGGATGCTGTGGTACAAGGATGCCAAGAAGCAGAAATGGACACGTCCATCCCTTCTGTTGGATATGGAAATCATCCTGATGAAAGCAGTGAAGTGACACTGGATGCAATGGTTTTTGATGGGTAAATCCAAATCCTCAGCCAACGACTTCCAAGATTTCATAATTGACTATTGCTTTCAATACCTCAAACATAGAAGTCTCATGTACATTCAGTGAGTGATGATTTGTATCACAGGGAGAGTCATGCCATAGGAGCAGTGGCCAACTTGAGAAGAATCAAGTCTGCAATAGCAGTAGCTAGAGCAGTGTTGGAACATACAGATCACACCATGCTTGTTGGGGAATCTGCAACTGCATTTGCTAAAGCCATGGGCTTTCAAGAAGAAAGTCTTGCGACTGATCTCTCAAATGAGATATGGCAGGAATGGCGCAATAATTCCTGTCAGCCAAATTATTGGAAGGTACAAGAAGATATTCATGTCTATCTCATGTCTGTTTTAGGGTCAAGGCTAAAGAACAGTTTTCCCTACCATGGAGGATAGTGAGATCATGAATATTTTCTGTATTTCAGAATGTGGCACCTAATCCAAGAGCTTTCTGTGGCCCATATGTACCTCTGAAACAAGAGATTACCTGTGACCCATCAACCAAGATGGTCAATGAAGGAAATCATGACACAATTGGAATGATTGCCATCGATCAAAATGGACATATCGCAGCTGGGACATCTACTAATGGACTACAATTCAAAATTCCTGGGTGAGTAGTGAGATAGGGAGGCATCAAACCCCCAAGGGAAAGGTCAAATCCTTATTTTAAAAAAAAAGTCCCAGAGTGAAATGAGATCTTCCCATTCTCATCCTTCCAGTCTGAGACAAGTGAACACCAAAGACAGGAACTTGAAACAGGCAAGATCCAGCCAGCCATTTTTTGCCTTGAGTGACTTTGCTGCACTCACTGACTTTCATTCTCTTTTACAGTTTGCTGTCTCTACTAGTCAAATGAAACTCGCATGTACCCATACTTGGTCAGAACTACATTGATGCAAGATATCAAGCTATACTCCATAGTTTTGGGCTGTATTTGGATCAAAACAATGAATGTCAAAACCCTCCATAAAACTGACTAAACCTTATTTGGTTGTTTCTCATGAACGGTTTTCGACAGGCATGCATGGTCGTGAAGAAATTTCTCGTTAAAAATTTTTTTGCATCAATGTAAAATGCAAACAACAGAGAATGTTTCCACGAGCAGTTGGGAATATTAGTCAAAATGCAAATAGTAGAGGAGTAGTTTCCACTGCAGAAGTTTGACAGAAAAAAACAGCAGAAAATGGCTTTTCTCATTGACTGATTGCCTAGACTGAGAAAGGGATGGGTCTGTTGCTTGTGGGCATACAAGGGAATCTCTGCCCATGAATTTTACATCTGATTGAAAATAATACAGAATCAGGTTGGGCTGTATGAATAGGAAATACTGTACAGTGGAAACTCACTAACTCAAACTTTAAGGGACCAGGCAAATTGTTTCAAGAAATCCGAAGTTTGACTTTACAGGTATTACCTCTACCCTTCGGGAAAATCTCTTAGGTTAAGGGATAAAACCAGAGGGCGATTTTCCCGTCCACATGTATTCGATTTTGAGTAGGTTCTTTCGTATGGAAAATAACAACTTTGTGAGATTATACAGTGAGAAATAAATTATAAGATAATTGGGAGGGTTGAGATCCAGTCGATGGCTTCCGGTGTTGCATGATGTAATTCGGCAGTACCACCACGAAAGGAGTATATGGGGTAGCCGTTGACAATATGCTCCATGGTTTGAATTTCGCCGCGTTGACAGTGGTGAGTCTTTAATCCGCCATTTGTGCAAAGGATCTGCGCATCTACCGTGTGATGTTCTAATGCGGTTAATGGCGCTTCAATGTCTGCGTCGAAGCAAGAAACCAGGAGGCTCGGATGTCGGGTCCAAGATGAGGCTCTTTTCCTCAACCTCAGCGTCGTTCCATAGTGTTCACCACTGTTCATCCGGAGCGGTGATGGTGAACCAGAGCGCTTCACCTGCAGTCCAGAATGATCTGCGGGAGTTAAGAAGGCGCGCGCATGGTGGTCGGCTGATGTCGTGGGGCGGAATTAATGCGTTTGAGAGTGCTTTGTTGTACTCTTGTAGTGTTGCCTCATCGCCCTTGATGGATGGCGGAGTGATGTTGGCGAGTACAGGAAGCCAAGACAGTGGGGTCGATTTGACAGTTCCGCTGATGGCGCGCATGGATGCGTGGAGCTGCGTGTCGACCAGGTGGGTGTGCGAGCTGCGGGCCCACACTGGTGAGCAGTACTCGGCCGTGGAGTACACCAAAGCCAGAGTCGCTGTTCGGAGGGTTCGGGAATTGCACCCCCTTCTTCTTTCAGCTAGCTTGTGGATGATGTTGACGCGGCTCTTCGTTTTGTTGCTCACTTGTTTGAGGTGTTGGTAGGTGAGAGTCCGGTCCAGTGTGATCCCCAGGTAGCGAGGGTAAGGATCAAGGTTGATCAATTTACTACAGAAGCTGATCGCCAGCGTCTTCTTTGCATCCTTCTTCGTAAGGTGGAAGGCGCATGATACGGTCCTGGAGGTCCGGCTTTCATGCGCCAATATCGGAAGTACTCATCCAAAGTTTTCAAGTCAGCATTCAGCTGACTTTCGGTATCCTCGATGGTTGATGCCTGTGAGACGATGGCCATGTCGTCGGCGTACATAAATTTATGGCTCGCCGTCGTCGGTACATCGCCGATGTACAGATTGAATAAGAGACGGGGCCAGGACTGAACCTTGAGGGAGATCATTCTCGAGGCGCTGTCTTTTGCTCAATTGTCTGCTGAGATGGACACGGAAGGAGCAGTCGGTGAGCATGGAGCATGAGAGGCACCATGCGCTTACAATGAAGCAGATCGGACAGCTTCAGTAAGAGTCCTTCCCGCCACACGGTATCGTAGGCCGATGTCAGATCGACAAAGGCCGCGGCCGATTTCGTTTTCTTTTGAAATCCAGCTTCAATGTGTGACGTCAGTGGTCACTTGGTCACAACAGCTCCTTGCAGGTGTGAATCCTGCCTGTTCGGGTGGAACCGCATTCTCTAGAGCAGTTATGATGCTTGTTAGTATTGCCCGCTTTGGGAGTCTGTAAGCAGTGCAGAGAAGTGATATCAGACGATAATTATTTGGGTCGTCAGCTGGTTTGTGAGGCTTCAGAACAGCGATGACCTGAGCTCTCTTCCAGGCTTTTGGTATCTTGCCCGATTGCAAGATATTCGTGAATAGAGCCGTCAACTAATCTCTTCCTTTGGGGTCCAGCTTTTTTAGGAAATCCGGGAGGATTTGATCTGGGCCGGCCCTATTTCAGCGCCCTGTGCAAAGAGACTCCCAACGCGCCATCAGCGGAACTGTCAAATCGACCCCACTGTCTTGGCTTCCTGTACTCGCCAACATCACTCCGCCATCCATCAAGGGCGATGAGGCAACACTAACCCCCCCCCCCCCCCCCCCCCCCCCCCCCCCCCGCCCCCTTCCCCTGCCTTCCCTCAGAAGGGAGAAGGGTCAATCCTTAGCGTCCGAAAAAATGGCGAAACGGAAGACATTTCCTCTTCTGAAGTAAAACTGAGGGTGGCATCCATAATAGCTTTATTTATTTGGGCACGTTTTGACGCCCCTGGTGAATTTGCGCCCTGTGCGGAGGCACATGCGGCACATACCTAAGGCCGGCCGCTCTGCCTGATTTTGTGGCGGAGATAGCGGGATCAATCTCAGTCCTTGTGAAAGGCACAGAGACACTTGATGAGGGGCTGCATTTTGACCTGGATTGTCGGTGGGTTTTGTTGACCTTCCCCTGTTTTTCGGTCCGCGGCAGCCTTCGAGTTACTTAGTAACTGGGCTGAGATGGAGTTCGCAGTCACTTGAGGAGTCCCTTGTTTTGCCGACGCAGAGGAGCCGAGTCTCTTCAGCAGGTTCCACGCCTTCCAACTTGAATGAGTGAAGTTGGTGTTTCCAACCGTCTCCTCCCATCTTTTCCGTCTTTCGGAGTCCAGTGACTCCATTAAGGCAGTGGCAATGTCGGGGTCCTTGGTAGCCTCGTATTCCCTTAGGAGGGATTCACTTTCCTTGCTCCAACATGGAGTAAATGAGGATCGGTAGCCGCGAGGGATGTTTTTCTTTGCGACCTTCATTAGTAGCTTCGTGAATTGATCGAAGCAACCAGGCTGCGGTGGGACATTCCCGGTTGTTTTCTCGACGGCTTCGGTGAACCCAGGCCACTCAGCCCGTCTCAGATTCCAGCGTGGCTTTGGAACTCTGAATATGATGGGTATCTCCAGGCCGATATGCGGCACGGTTGGTCTGTGCTGGCTATGGGGAAAACTGTCCAGGACGGTTCTTGTTGCTGGGAGAGGTAGGCTGTTAGCGTCTGTGAACACAGCAGAGGTCGGGCGAGTAGTCGTTTCTCCAGCGAGCTGAGCGGAAAGTTCCTTCCTGCTTATCGTCAAACTGGAGGTGCATATTCTGCATTTTGAGAAGTGATGGCCAACTTTGTGAACCGACTTTGCAACATAATCATTGGCCTTTTTTTGTGCTGAAACTTCCATACTCAATATGCAAAATTTATTTTATCACAAACGCCTTTAAAACTTTTTTGGTTTTATCGCTAGTTGTATGAAATCAGTCATTTGATTTCTAAAGGAATTGGCAATTGAGATGTGGAAGTCTTCCAATTTACATAAATTTATTGCAGAAAGTGAATGCTACGTTGAAGCCAGCCTCAAATGACAAGATCGGCTTCCATTATTTCTATGAATCACTACTTGAAGTACAATCTGGCATCTTTTCAGCATTTCTACCTCACACTAGAGATTTGGAAGATCTATTTAGGAAAGTCAATCACAGACAGGAATTAAGCTTCAGAGAACGCTGCTGTGGCTCTTAAAATTTTCTGTTTCCCCTCTTGTCATTCCTTTATTTTATGAGACACAGTTGAAACTTAGAGAATATCTCACTGCCATTGATTTGCTAAATATTAAGCTCATGTAATTTCCCATAAAAGAGATTCCCAACATATCATCCAACATTTTTTGTAGGATTTTACTGAGGGAAAGCGAGTAAGGGTTAAGCAATAATTTTGACTAATCCAATGAATGCTTTTCAAACTAAATTTTCATTTGCTATGCAAATGAAAGTCCTTGATCCATCACCCCATTCCCAAATCCATTGCCAAATTTCATTACTCATAATAGTTTCAGAGGATTTTTGGAACATCCACTATTCCATCCAAAAATATGAATCTCTGCTTTCAGCTTTCTTCAGATTTGACAGGAAGAAAAGCACTGGAGTAGTAAAACTTGTCACTTTATGTCTGACTAAATCCTCTTCTAGCTCCCACTGGAACCACCATTGTTAAGGTTGTTTGATAGATACAGACTATGTTATTGGAGAAAATGTCACTTTGAAAAAATATTTTGAGCACCTAATGGGGCAAGGAGACCATATGCAGGTGTTGGAGCTCCTCACCTCATGGGAATTCTGCCTTTTGTTATTGGCAAGCCTCTTTTTTTTTTTTAAGGAAACAAGGCTCCTAATGAAACTACATGCAGGGTGTCCTAAAAGTCGCTTTACCGAGATTATACTCATGTTTCAGGGGAAAACTACTTTATTTACAACCAACTACCCGCAGAAAGTGACAATGAGGAGCTACAGAAATTGTTCAAATTGTTGTCCATCATGTTTAATGCACATTTCACATCTGCAAATAAAAAAATCTGAATGCAAGTGAAAATAATCACAGTTAAACACTTTACCGTCTTGAGAAAGCAACTTTTAGAGCTTAAAGAAAAAAAAATTGGAAAATATTTAATTTTAAAACAATCTCTGCAATGCCTTTGCGATTCAAAAACTCTCAAAAGAGGACAGAGCAGATTATGGTCAGTCACCTAATTATTTTTGTCACTGATTATTTCTCATGTAGCCCTATTACTTATTACTATACTTTTATAAGTATCAGTCTTGGTCGAGCGTTCGTAGCGTGAGGACGTGTTGGAGGATACTCTCGAGGTTCTGTCAGCTAAGTCGTGAGTTAGTTGTTACCTGGCTACTTTGTAGCAGTATTCATAAGTTTTCTGATAGCTACCTCCAACTTCACATTAGATCAGTATCAATCAGCTTAATTACTTCAAGTATTAGCACATTACTCGTAGTATTCCTTTTACTACAAGGACTAGGACAGTACAGTCTTACCGGGTTACAACTAGTGTGAAGTACTGCAAAGTATAAGTCTAA